CTTGTGAGAGCTGATTTTCTGGAATTTTGCCAGCTGATTGAGAGCAGAGCTGAGCTACCATGCCTTGTGTGCCTGTCAGCTGTTTGGTAACTAGCTGTGTGATAGCAATGGAGCCAGTAGAGCCTTTCATTAAATGTGTACCAGCACACCACTGCTTATGCATATGTACAGTAGTACTCCAATGTACAGCAATCAAATGAATCCATGGAAAGAAAGCTGTTCTCTTCCACATCTTTTAACCTGATTGATTAAGGCATTTTCCCTGTTCTAGGGGACCTTGAGGCTCTGAAGAAAGAGACCTTTGTATTAAAAGAAGGAGCTGAATATAGAGTCAAGATCCATTTCAAAGTAAGTGACTTTCCTACAGAAATTTTCTGGAGCTGGAGTCTATTCCATTCTGCATATCTTCACTTAAAGCCTCTTGTAGTGCAAATGTGTACATTGCTGGTTCATAAATGTCACACCTATCAATTTAAATAATAAAGCTTTAATCAAAATAAGAAGTTTGCATTGTCTACAGGAAGAAAGGAAAGTATTCCCAGTATTCTTGTATTCTTTAATTCTTTTGACTGGGCTAATTATTTGTATTCTACTAAAGACAAAGTACACTTATATGAAACTATGCATTATTCTTACATTATGATACAACAAAACTGATAAAAAGTTTTTTCCCCGTGTGCAACTTAATTAGAAGCAGAAAAAAGAAACATGAATTCAATTACTTTTATTAACTTGGCTTTTTTATCAGTTTAGCTTAATATATGTCATTGTTTGTGTTACAGATCTATTACTGTATTTCAGAACAGTGCATCAGCAACAAATAAAATTAAGAAGTGTATTGTCCCAAAATATATTAGGGGTTTCCCCCAAATATATTTAATCCTAAATATATCTAACTGCTGGTCTTTAATACTCTTCCCCCAAATTTTATTTAATGTAAAATGACCTCTTAAAGGAAAGTGCCATCTGGGCAAAATGCAGAAGTGGTTACACTGGTAGGCTACATTGCTGAAAACTGCTTTATTTTTTCCTTCTCTTAAAGAAGAGTAACCAGAATCAGACAAATATAACTCATAATTATGCTGGATGTAGTGTTTCATTTCCATTGATGATTACATTAATTCAAATTCTAAATGTCTCACAAAGAGATAGCGGCAGTTTCATTGGTTGGCACAATATAAAAACTAGCTGAAGATCTGATGTGATTTATTCAAGCTGTCGTGAGGAATCTTAAGTCGAACTACAGGCCTTTATGGTTGAGTGTATGAAGATTTGGGCTGTTAAATTTACCCTTCACTGTATTTTCAATTTAGATTTTGATGATTAGTCTCCTAATCACATGAGCCTCATAAACTGTAATAATAAATAAATATATTGTTTTGTTTAGTTACAGAATGGTTTTTTCCCCCTACAATATCCCAAAGGAAGCGTATTGAAAATCTGAACTGAATTACCTCACTCAATGGACTATTTTTTCTTGCAGGTAAATAAAGATATTGTATCTGGTTTGAAATATCTCCAGAACACTTACCGGAAAGGAGTGAAAGGTGAATATATGAAATCATTTTTTTCTTCTCTTCAATACCTGTAGATGATACTGCTATAAACATAGCCTTGTTTGCGTGTTCTTTCAAAAATCACCTTGATGTGGTTGCGCTGTATAACTCGCCTTTCACACTTTGTAGATAAAGTGATCATTTCCCTTTTTATACAGTGCAAATATGGCAGAAAGCTTTTGCCACTAAGCTGTAATACAACGATTGCTATCCACAGGAGCAGAAATTATTTTGTTGATATTCCTGTTTGCATGGTAAACATTGGGCATACACAGGGGTGGGATTCAAAATTTTTAACAACCGGTTCTGTGGGCATGGCTTAGGTGGTGGGCATGGCTTGGTGGTCATGTGACTGGGTGGACATGGCTTGGTGGTCATGTTACTGGCTGGGTGTGGCCAACTCAATATCACTCACATCGAGGCACGCATCTCCTCGCCTGGCCTCTCATGACTGTGGGAATGCTGCAACAGTTGTAAGTGCGAAAAATGGTCATAAATCACTTTTTTTCAGTGCCCTTGTAACTTTGAATGGTCATTCCACACAAGCAAAGTACCAGGAAAGGAGGGAAAAAAACGCCAGAGAAGTTCCTGAGACAGGAAGTCTAGTCCTGCCAAGAACGTAATAAGGGTTAACGGAGAGGCAGTTTCTGTTAGCAACACCAGAATGTTTCCTTCCTGCCTTCCTTACAGGATTAGGCCAGTAATTTCTTCTAAAAACTGGTTCTCTGAACTGCTTAGAATGTTAACAACCGGTTCTAGCGAATAGGTGCGAACTGGTAGAATCCCACCCCTGGGCATCTAGCTAGATGCCTGAAAAACCCCTTATTTATAGACATTTGTATGGTACGCTCAGATCCCAGAGAGAAAATTCCCTTATAACATCAAAGGACTTGACCTAACTTGGGCTGTCTCTTCTATCCTAATTTTAATTGCCCCAAAGTCCGTTTGTCCTCCCTCCCCTCCCCTCCCTCCCTCCCTGTATAAAACTTCAGAAAAATCTGTTAAGAGGTTTATATAGCATACAATAAGATTTAAAACAATAAATTGTATCAACAAAAAATAAATCCCATAAAAGAAAAAGAAAGGAAACGAAACCGTTTCAATAAACTTTCACACCAAAGAAATAATCAAGCAGAAAGCAGATTCTTAAAATCGGAAGTTCTCCGCTTACAGCAAGTACATTCTCATGACCCTTTGAAACAGTCAAGTTTTAATGACTTTCTGAAAACAATGACCTGATCACTAGGGAAATTGAGGGAGGTCGAAAACCTATGTGAGAACATTGAAATGTGGAAACATTTAATAATCTTGGAGGATCTGAGGCATTTTTTATAAACTGCATTTTGGAAACTTGGAGGAATGCTATTGTTGTTATTTTCTATCATATAGAGAATATAAATTAATTAAAGTTTGTTCCAAATTCCTTTCTGGGATGGTTTCTGAGTATTGATAAATCTTCTAAAGGCTGATATAACCTGAATTCAATCCAGGTGATGGAAAACTGCAGTCATTATTACATGAACTGTTTGTATTGCATTTTAAAATTGTTTGTGTTTTGTGTTCCATTCTATTTCTGTCCTACCTTCTGATACACTGTCTTTCTATGGCTTGTTCTCTCCTAGTGGATAAGGCTGTATTCATGGTGGGCAGCTATGGGCCGCGGCCAGAAGAGTATGAATTCATGACACCTATTGAGGAAGCACCAAAGGGCATGGTGGCCCGAGGAAACTACTGCAATAAGTCCCTCTTCACTGATGATGATAAGCACAACCATCTTACCTGGGAATGGAACTTGGCTATTAAAAAGGAATGGACAGAATGAATTTTACCTGGTTTTCTCTTTTTGCTTCTGCTGCTGCTTGTGCTTATTCCAAGTGTGTCAGTTTCTGGCACATGCATGCCATGCTTCTTCCACATAACCCAATCCTTTTATTGTGAAAAGAAATTTAGCCAATACAGGCTATTGCTACCTTGAAAATAATAACACAAAAATCAACAGGGACAAAGCATTTCTCTGGTTGCACAGGATCAATTCTTGAAGTGCCTTTGGTCGGAAGATTACATTGTCACCAACTTAAACCAATTGCTATTATGGCACATCAGTTGACTGAAAGAGAGTTGGCTTTGGAATTTCTCTTTCCCCCTGCCTTATATGAAAAGTTCTGTCAGTGGATAGTGTCTTGTTTAAATTTGGTTCCCAGAATTGCCTTGTCTAGTAATATAGGATACAATTCCTGACCTGGCCTGTAAAGATAACAGTGTCTTTGAAAATAAAGCCAATTTTGTCCTTTGCTTCAGAGTGAGCTTCTTGTGTTTCTTACAATACATAGATTTATTTTGCCCTTAACACATAAGGGATATCAAACTTCCATTCTTACGTCACACCTCCCCTGCCCCCAGATCCAGGCACTTTAGTCTTCTTGCATCATTTTAATAGTTTAAGACATAAGCAGACCACTAATGATTAGGATTATAGAGAACATAATGGGTATTGCCACTGGATCACTCTCGGTATCATCAGAAGTAGATTGTACAGAGGAAGAATATGGTTTGTCATCAGTATATGGGTCTACTTTTTATTCTTTTGCTTAAGATAGGTGTAGGTAGTACATATTGCTTGGGGGAGAACCCTTTTTTTTAAAAATGGCCAATGATAACTCTGAACCTGTAGGCCTGAAATGTTTGGTGGGAGTTTTATTTGCAGGAGGCTAATGCATCTGTGTCATATTCTCTCCCCTAAAATAACCATTTTGCCACAAAAAATCAACAGTTTGCTCTGGATTTTGAAATTTGATTTTAGCTATGTCTGGGAGGCCTGCAGAATCAGGAAATGGGATGTATGTGCCTCCCATGATAGTTGATCTGGGAAGTAAGGTGAAACAAGAGCTAGTTGACAATTTAAGACTATATTCAGAATCACAGAATTAAGGAATAAAACGAACAAGCGAATAACCTGAAGAATGTTCCCTGTACAAATGCTGTTCTATGTAATAGGCAGAAATTACTGGGGTTCTGTAAGAGAAAGCACTGTTCATTTCATAGAAACTTAAAATACAGTGGTGGGAGGTGGTGCAGGCAAAATGTGCGTGAGATAAGAGGTTAATTGAAACAGCCATAAAACAAATTTTCAGAAAAAAGATTTTTCAGACTCTCTGAATTCCAGTCCATACGATTTGTGGGTGATATTAGTAAAGGCCAGCAAACAAGTACAAATAACATCTATAAAAATAGGACTGCAATATTTAACCAATTGAAAATATTTGTTTCAATTGAAAATATACCGTATATGAAATGAAATTGGCAATTTAATTTTTATATTTAAAATATTGCTATCTAGTTTCAAAGGTAATGAAGTTCTAAAAATAATGTTTGACAACATGCTAATATCTCTTTTATGCAAACATTTTGAAAGGTTTTTTTCGTCCTTTCCCTTTCCTCTGTGTCTCATCAGGCACCAGGGAGGGGGTTGGTTGGAATTTCATGACAATATGAAGATTTAATCAATTCAAAATCTATAGTGATTTTTTTAATCAAACGAACATTTAAAAAACAATTTTAATGCTAGCCTGGTTGTGCAGAAATAAGCAGCAGAGTTCTGTCAGTGTTAACTTACCTGAACTTCAGTGTTTTTGTTTTTTATTTGCTAAGCTATGAAAATGGAGCTTGTCTTAGAATAAATAGATTTATTACATCAGAGGAAACATTTGGGAGTTCATATCCCCATTAGTTTCTTATCAGAAGAAAAAAAAAGATACAGGTGGCCATTCCCAACTGTTTCACTCCCACAGCTTTTGGAGCTGTCACGTCTGATTAAGTGACAGCTCTCAAAGGTGTTTTTTTCTGCCTGAAACAGAAGAGCAGACAGGGAGAAAAGAAGTCAGAGCAATGGAAAACTCCTTCTTGCATATGTTTCTTTTAGTTTTCCTCAGTGGTGTGTTCCTGTTAGGATCTGGACAGAAAAACTCCTCATCTGAAGGTAAGAAGGCCTGTCTCAAATTTAGAAAAAGGGATAGTGAACAGACCAAGAATCATATAAATGGGAATGGAGAGCAGCATTTAAATCAGCTTTCAAAGGTACTGGATTCCTGCCCTCAACACCTTCAGTAAGCATGGCTATCCTAGTTTGGATTAAGGAAGGGTAACCCATCTGAGGGGTGCTGTGGGAATGCTACTGTAGTAGGCAGCACACCCAACTCCTAGCTAGAACACAATTCTCAATACCCAAGAAGGTTAGGAAAATCTTAGGGGAAATCAGGTGCACAATTTTCCTAGGAAACCTTAATTAATTGTAAATTAATTGAAAAGAGAGATTGTAACACAGACTGGCCCCCTTCATCGGTATAAACATGTGGGATCACTGTAAATCAAATTGCTGCTTATTTCATTCCAAATTCCTGTTTATTATGAAATCACTCAAACAGCAGTCTCAGTTCTTCATGATGGGAAATAATAACATGGATAATAGTAAAGCAATTCATGCTTTGGTCTTGTATTGAAAAAAAATCACAAGAATAAAATTCAGCTGCATAAAAGAAACATAAGAGGAAATATATCTGTCATGAATAAGACTTGAAGCCTAAAAGTAATCTACTCCATCTACTTAAAAACCAAATGGAACAAGCAGATTTCTCCATCTGAAAAACCAGGTGGCTTTAGGCCTTACTTTGAGAAGTGGAATTTTAAACATCAGGTAAATCATCCAAGCTGTTGCAGCTCCATGCTGCAACAGATCTTGCTTCATGGCAGGTTGGCACTAAAACCATTGCCTGTTATTCGCAGAAAAATATGTTTGTCCAGGTGAAGATTTGCTAATAGGAATATTCAAAGCAGGTCATTATGACAATGGGATGAAATTGACCATAAAAAAGATGCTGGCCAAACAGAACTTTCCTTCTATTTTCTCCAGATACTATCAAAGAGGAAAGGAAGCCTGTGCTTCTGGAAGATATCCCAAGTACTGCAGCCTTCATTGATGGAGCTGAGGTGGCAGTTGTTGGATTCTTTGAGGTCTGTTGAAGTGCAACAAGATACTGAGTGATTGGTTTTACAGAAGTGCACTATAGTTTGCCTGCTTCGGGCTTAGTACTTGTGTAACCTAGGCATTAAGCTTATTATCTATGATTTATAGCTTAGCACATTGTGTCAACTATGGAAAATGTGTTTGATTTCATAAACTATATTTATGGGAACAATATTTAGCATGCTGTATCACCTCCCCCCGAGATAGTTTATTTTGCATATAAGTTTTGCATATAATAATATATAATATATTGAAGAATATGCATCTTAAACTTGCTGGGCTGAGAAACACTGACCTAAGGGACCATCTTTCTTGTGGCCAGTTTCAGTTTTCAATTGCATGGAAAGGACTTTTTCCTCGTTGCTTTCAAAAAGAATCCAGATTTATCTTTTTAATTCAAACTTTTAAACAGCCCTTGCTACTTTAACATTGTTTTGAAAATAGTCTATTAATGTTTTATATTATTATTTCTTTATGGTATACTATTTTTAAGGATTTAAAAAAAAATGCCATAGAAGTTTTTCAAAGTAACAACTTTTTGCTAATTGAGGAGCTTATTGTGGGAAGTTGGAAAGGTATAATTAGCATGTTATAGAATGCTGTGATATCAACGGATCCAGGAAAGATGAATCTGCCTGTTACAGGGACACAAGACAAATCCAAGTTAAAAATCATGACAGCCGTATTTTCCAACCTGCTACCTTCCAAGATGTGCTAAGTCAAAAACATCTGGAGGGCCTCAGGTTAGGGGAAGGCTGCATTATTGAATCAGTGCCAAACTAACCTCAAGGGCACATAATACGTTTGTCTATTTTCTCAACCTGTTTTCTGAAGGTTGTTTCTCATAATCAGAGCCAAATGAGCACATGATACTTTCCTGCAGCTGCCATAGTTACAGGAAGGTCTCCCCCTGGAGTGTCCTCAAAGGGCATCAATAAATCCCATTAAACGTGATTGACCTACAACTCACAATCTTGATCCACATTGTTTGGGAATTATGACAAGTATAGTCCAATGTATTAAACAGGTATGAAGTTAAGGAAGCAAATTCTACCCATAAGAATGTGTCTACATTAGATAGCCCAAAACATTTTGCTATATGAGGGGAACAGGAATCCCCTTTCCTATACCAAGGACATTATATCTGAACATAGCTAAATAATGTTGACACCAGTGATAAAATATTTCAAGAATGCTTCTCTCTAAGAATAAAAATGCAACAGCAATAATAAACACTTTGTAATAAACCAATATGCCAGTTTTAACTCTCTAATCGTGCTGTTTCATCATTAGAGAAGATTACAACAAATTACAAACATAAAAGACCTTTCTGAGGTTTGGTATATTTTAAGTGATCTTAAAATGCAGCTTCAACAGAGTCTGTGAAAGTAAATAGCCACCAGATGTCAGCATTCTCCTCTTAAATTGCTGATAAGTGTAAAAGACAGTCAAATTGGAAGAAATTCTTACTGTATTACTATCATACTTTCATTTAGAATAGAATGTGTCTTGCTTTCATTGTATGTTGTATTTTTTTAAAAAAAATTCTGGTCCTCACCATTTTGCCTTTCCTCTGCATCATCTTCATGTTCCTGTCCTCTTTCTGTTTTTTTCTACCTTTTCCTCCCACTACATCTCTTTTACATCTCTGTAAAAGAAGCTGTAGGGAAACTGTTGTCCTTTAGATATTATTGAACCACAGTTACCAAATCCTACCATAACACCCACTAGTAAAGAAGATGCCAGGAGTTCTAATTCACCAACATCTGGGTCATCACAGACAGTCCTGTTTTCTGCCATAGGCCAACCTTTCTTACAAGTACAGTCAAGAGCTGGCTTGTAACTCTCTTGTCTCCTAATTGGCCCTCTGAAGAATCCAATTTTGGGGAAGACTGTTGCAGATTGATGTCTCTTTGCACCATTCCTTGCAAGGTCTCTGTATGTATACACACACACACACACACACACACACACACAACTTTATAACCAGGGGTGGGATTCTACCAGTTTGCACCTATTCGCTAGAACTGGTTGTTAACATTCGAAGCAGTTCAGAGAACCAGTTGTTAGAAGAAATTACTGGCCTAATCCTGTAAGGAAGGCATGAAGGAAACATTCTGGTGTTGCTTACAGAAACTGCCTCTCTGTTAACCCTTATTACATTCTTGGCAGGACTAGACTTCCTGTCTCAGGAACCTCTCTGGAGTTTTTCCCCCTCTTTTGCTGGTACTTTGCTTGTGTGGAATGACCATTTAAAGTTACAATGGCACTGAAAAAGTGACTTATGACCATTTTTCACACTTATGACTGTTGCAGCATTCCCACAACCATGAGAGGCCAGGCAAGGAGATGCATGCCTCAATGTGAGTGATGTTGAGTTGGCCACGCCCAGCCAATTACATGACCACCAAGCCATGTCCACCCAGTCACATGACCACCAAGCCATGCCCACCACCTAAGCCATGCCCACAGAACTGGTTGTTAAAAATTTTGAATCCCACCCCTGTGTGTAACCTTTAATTGGGTGAAATGGTGCATCATAAGGCAACTGTCAACTAAAAAATACTCTTTTGGTCTTTTTAGTTGCCAGCAGAAAAAGAGTGGGAGAAAGCAGTGCATTCCTTAAATGCCTCAGATAATCACCTTGGCAGTCCAAAGCTGTCGGTGCACAAAAATATTACTGGAGAGCATGATTGATGACTCTTGGCTACAGATGTGTCCCATTGGAGAATATACATCCAGGGGGTGGGGGGAAGACCAGGGTCAAGGGGGAAATGAATGATGTATTTTAGTGTCAGCTGCACCCAGCTAACGCCATGTCCACTCCTAATAAATAATTTTTATTTACTCTGAGAGATGCGGCTAGAGACTTATGATTTGAATGGGAGTGGATTTGTTGGAGCTCTGACAGCAACAATTTTTGAACCAAGGTACATCAAATGGTTAACTTACAGAATGTATCCAAAATCCTGGACCTATGGCTCCTGCAGAGTTGAAATTTTGCAAATGTTATAAAACATTTTATGACATAAATACGATCACAAAACATTTCCTATGGTTAACTGTAGATATTTGACTGTGCTATATAGCTCAACATAGGCTATTTTCAAGACAGCTACATGTCTGAAAAATTCTCTGAATTTTAAAGAAATTTTCCAGTGAAAGCAGTACATTAGAAGCTCTGCTACTGTTGAAGGCATGGAGGAATCTGGTAATAAAGTGTCTCTGGAACAATGCCCCAAGGGGATTCAGATTGTCTAATTGGCAATAATCAGGGTAACTGATGTGATGCAGGGACATTTTCTTTCATTGTTTTCTGCCTGCCTGCCTACCTGCCTCTATCTATCTATCTATCTATCTATCTATCTATCTATCTATCTATCT